CGTCTTTGGCAGATTTTCGCGTTGCCCAAACTTGCCCCAAAAGGAATTCTAACATAACTTTGCGACTGACCGCAAACCGGGATTTGATTTTATATTACCAGGGTCCAGACGAATACCCTCGACCCGATCGTACTCCTCTATATACAGCTTCATGGCCTCGTCGTCGTCGCCACACTCGCGCGGCCAGCCGCTAGCTTCCTGCTTAATCTTTAGGAACGTGTTTATGTAATCGGCAAAGTGACCACCCGTCCGTGTCGTTGGGTCGTACTGGGTAATCTCATACTGCCACACTCGCGCGGCCAGCCGCTAGCTTCCTACTTAATCTTTAGGAACGTGTTTATGTAATCGGCAAAGTGACCACCCGTCCGTGTCGTTAGGTCGTACTGGGTAATCTCATACTGCCATATTTCGTGTATCAACGTTATTTCATACCTCTTACGTACGGCGCGCTTGACCTCGTCCACGACCCAGGTCCCTTCGAATACCCTGTCCGCTGGATTCTCGTGAGGACACGGCCCCTGTAGCGTGGCCTCTGCACAGGCACTACACAATGCAAAGAGTAGTTTACCGTGCATACGCACCGGTAACACGGGATGATACAGATCTCGCGGTGGTAACACCACGCACTTAATCAAGCACTCCACGTTATCGATGTTGTGGCGATCACCCGTTAATTCGCGACAGTCATCGCCCACGTACACCGTAGGGTGCCCTACAGGGAATTTCCCCGTTTTCGAAATGAAGGGGTACAGCGAACACACATCTACGTAGTGTATCCTCTCAGACCCCTCGACTTCATAAAAACTGACAGTATTACCTGTACGGCCACCGAAGAAAGCATCGCGGGGTTCGAGCGGTGCCTGCGATACCAGCGGGTTCTCATTCAGCGATCTGTATAAAGCTGTCTGTTCAGGATCGCTTATCCAGCGGTCGAATTCACACTCCCAAATTTCCGTCAGCTCGTAACCTAAATACACTCGTAACCTAAATACCGAATCTTATCGTTCGTAGCGCGCGTCCATGGATCCACCCGTTTGTAGACGACTATCTCTGTTTATACGATAGCATTTTGGGCACTAAATACCGAATCTTATCGTTCGTAGCTTGCGTTCTCTCGTAGCGCGCGTCCATGGATCCACCCGTTTGTAGACGACTATCTCTGTTTATACGATAGCATTTCGGGCACCCGTGCCAGAAACAACCCTGAAACTGGAATACGTGTCGCAAACCGGAGTCGGTGTCCAGGTAGTAACCATCGACGGGTGTACCCTCCGGCAGACGATACTCCCGAGTGCGCCCCGCGTGAACTATGGCGCAACCCAAACGATGCTCTAGCGAGAGAAGCCATAAGATGGCCTTACGCGATTGCTTGTCACTGTATCGATGCCCACCCGGCGGTAAAATAGCTATCTGTTCGTCCCGCAAAAAGTTTTTCCGAAAAACTTTCGAACACGCCGAGGCTATAGTGGTACTCTCCGAGAAAGGGCAAACGTTGCCATGCTGAAGAAACATTTCGCGGAAAGAAACGCATGCCTGCCTGAGAATGGTAACGTCCGATCTACAGTATTCTATAAACTCGGTTCGAAAGTTAAATACGTATCCGGTAGAACGCTGCTCGTTATACCATGCCAAAAACTGATTACGCTGAGCCGTCGACATCGTATCGGGCGAATAAAACTCGAGCGCTGGCAACGGGCCGATATAATGCTGATTCTCAGGTGTATTGAACAGATGCGGAAAGACGCCCTTTTGTTTCAAACCA